GGATTTGTCTGCCCACGCTGGTTCCAAACCCAGTTCTCTGATCTCAGCCTCCTGAGTAGCTAGGATTACAGGTGTGAGCAAGTAAGTCCTCAGCTTACACGTGTTTTGCAATTTACCAAAATCACAACCAGACTTTCCCATTTCTCAGATGGAGAAATTGAGGCTCAGAGTAAGCAAGACAGGCTGCCTATCTCTGGGCTAACTCTTCTGGGGCTTTGCTGTGTGCTCTCAGGCAAGGTCTTTCCCTTTCTGGGCTGCTCTGGAGGGAAGGGGCTCTGCGCCCCTCAGCCAACTTTTCCAGCACCCCTCCCCACCCCTCATCCAGGCTGGGCCAAGTCTGCTCCAGGGTGACCCGAACATCTGGGAAGTGCCAGGGACCATCAGGCCAGGCGGAGGCTGGGCTGTGTGAGTCACCATGGAGCGGGGCCGCGGGAGGCAGGGCTGACCGTTCCCAGACGGGAGGTGTCAGGCTGGGCAGCGTTCCTGGAATAAGCAGAGAACTTGGGAGAAGGGAGGAAAAGGAGGACCGGTCGCCCACCTCCTCTTTCTTTCCGTGCACCCTCTTTGCGCGTTTCAATCCCTCCCACACCTGCGGCCTGCCCCCCAGCCCGGGGCATGGAGGGAGATGCTGTTGGCTCAGCTGTGCATTGAGCGTGTGTGTGTGTGTGAAAAACACCAGCCTTAAAGGGAATCCAGAGCTGTATACTTGGGGTCCTCAGAGGTTGAACCCCGCTGGAAGGGGTCTGGTCAGGCAGCCAGGTGCGGGGCAGGCAGCCGTGCTGTCCGGAGTAGACCCGCGGGCCGGCCTTGCTCCTGGTCACAGAGCTTGGGTATAAGAGACTCCAGCTCCCATGGGCCAAATCCTCAAACCAAAGAACCAACTCAGAATGAGATAGCAGCTCATATGGGTGGAAGCTTCCAGAGGCATTTCTGGGCTTCTGGAAGAGGGACCCGGGAAGGAGCCGTTTCAGGCTGAGCTATAATCCGATGGCCAAACATCCTGTCACCAGGGCTGCCTGGGTGGTCTCGGCATCCTGGTCCTCCTGCTGAGTCTCCTGGCCGCAGGCAGAAGCACACGCTGCCCTATGACAGAGGGCCTGGCTGCGTACACCCCCGCCCCTGAGCCGGGGCCTCGCCTCCAGCTGGCCTCACCTCAGCCTGGAGCCCGGCTAGGGAGGGGAGGGTGCCCTCCACCCAGGTGATCCGTGCGGATCCTGAGCAGAGAAGAGAGGGCGCTGCGAGGGCTGGAGACTGGGCGCATGCAGAGGCAGACAGTGGCGTGCAGCCCGGACCAGTCTCCCCAGGGCCTGAGCAGGGACATGGCACATAGCACCTGTCTAGGGCTTCTTAGCAAGGAAATGGGGCCACATGTCCATTCGGTCAGGCTGCTGGAACAGAGACCTGTGGCCTAGTGGGTTCCAGGAGGATGCTTCGGCTCCTTCTGGGCAAGTCGCCGGGGAACGCCGGAGGACATTTGCCCTGTACTTTATAGCGGAGCATGGCTGGTACCTGGCGGCTTCCAGGGGGGTGGGGAAGGAAGGGGTCTCTTCTCTCTCCTCACTCCCGCTCCATCCCACGGTCTGGCACGTTCCTGGGCTTGCCCACCGGGGAGCCTGGGAGCGGCAGCCTCGGTCCACCAGAAGCTTCCACAGTATGATTCTTGCGTGAGCGGTGGGGATGGCCGCGGTGGGGAGGGTGGAATGAGGTTCGTGGATAGAAGGCGGGAGTCAGGGAAGCTCCTAGTGACTGGTCAGCTTTTCACTGGGGGTTCGGTGCAGGGATGGGGTCTGGTGGGTGAATTGTGGGGGGCGGGGGAGCTCTGGGCCGCAGCCCTGCGCATGTTCAAATCTCCTTCACCTCCTGCCCGCCCCTGGCTTCATGGGCGGCCTGTCCTCATTCTCACGGTCTCCCGTCCCTTGGGGGAGGGACAGAGGAGAAGGACACGGGAAGGCTCTCCCCAAACTACTGTTTTTCAAAATCAGTCAGCTGAGGATGAGAGAAAAACGCTCCCTGGAGACGTGGATGTCATTGTTCTGGAGTAGCGTCTAGACACTGGCGTTTGGGGTAAATACACATCCCCGAGGACGCTAACGGCTGTCACAAAGCTCCGGTCTGGGGTGCGCAGCAGGACAGCAGGCTGTGCCGCCGGGCAGGACGGGCCTCCAATGTCTGTATCGTCTCAGCCCAGTTTCTGTTGCTAGGACAAAATCCCTGAGGCTGGGTGCCTTTCAGAGAAGAGAGGCTGGTTTGGCTCGGGGTTGGGAGGCTCCAGGACCCGCGCAGGTGGAGATGCCCTGGCGGGACGAGAAGCCAGTCAGCGGCCAGCCTTGCTCTTTGTGCATCATGGCCACTGGGCTGGGTCCTGGGGAAAGGACAGGAATTCTTCCTGAAGACAGTGCCCCCGGGAGCTAACCACCTTCCACAAGGCCCCACTTCTGGAAGGTTCCACTACCTCCACCAAATCCCCAGTATAAGACTTTGGGGGGGCATCAACTGGCATCCAAACCAAAGTGAGTTGGGGCCATGCTGCTGGCTCTGTCCCCCTGTCCCCAAGCTTGGTTCCCAGGGACAATGTGGTCATGACCTCCCCCCCACCCCCCCATGCCTTGAGTGGCTGCGATGGTCTGGAATGAATGCTGCAGCAACCGCACTGCCGGTGAGCTTGTGGCTGGCAGGCCCGATCAATCACCTCAACTCCCAAACAACCGGCTGAGACAGACTCCATTTTACACATGGGCATATGAAGGCCAGAGGGGACACCCAGGGGCTGGCCTCACACAGGCCGAGGTAGCTTGAACCCCAGGCCGTCTGGTCCCCGAGCCCAGGCTCCTAAGCCTTTAGCTGGTGGTGTGTGGGGTCTGGTTAGGGCTGCGCCCCTTTCTCAGATGTTTGGATTGGGGCCTGGAGATGTGGGTGTCTCGTGGGGACGCAGCCCCCAGAAGGCCATCCGGCTGTCTCCTCCCCTCTGGCCTCGCCGGGCGGTGTGGGTGAGTCTGTGCCCACTGGCACCTCGGGGCCAGGGGGCTGGTGAGACATGGCCACTGATGTGAATGACTCCGCTGCCCACGGTGACATGTCTTGGCTTGATCAGCCGGTAGTGTCCTCCACAGCCAGGCCCTGGGCCCCAGATTCCTGGTGGGTGACACACTCTGTGTACTCTGCCGGTCGTAAGAGACCTGGCTGTGCCCCGGCGGGGAGCAGAGACCTGGCTGTGCCCCGGCGGGCAGCAGCGGCCTGGGCTGCATCTCCGGCTCAAATAACAGAGGCTGGGCAGCGCCTCAGCTTAATCTGCTGGAAAGCCAGCCAGGCCCCGGCTCCTCCGGATAAAGCGGAGCTGTCTTGTCTCTGTCTCTCCTGCCTGGGCCCGGGCATCAGGTCACCCAGGCAGCGAGTGGCTCTGTGCCCGCTGCCTCTCTGCCCATCCCGGCCACCTTCCCATCAGGCAGGGGAAGGGTTCAGTGGTTATCACTCATCAGATATTTTCCGCGTCCTCCCTTTGGGTGAAACCCCATTCCAAACCCCTTTAGGCTTCTATTCATTGGCTCTCCCTGCACACGGAGCCAGGCCCGGACGTCACGCTTGTTTTATATGATGGAGGAAATCAAGGCTCAGAGAGGGGAAGCCACTTGCCAAAGTCCCACGGGTGGCAGAGGGCTTAATCACCAGCAATCTGACCACCGTCATTTGCAAGTGAATTCGACAGTCAGTCATGACAAGGGCTCTGAAGAGAAGCCGCGCAACAGGTAGGGACAGCGGCTTCCTCTCCTGGGGCCTCAGATGGCTTCCTTGGAGTGAGGACCTGTCAGCTGCTGCATCACAGTGCAAAGATGAGCCAGCATGGGCATGGCGGGGGTGGGGGTGTCCAGGAAACAGCATGTGCAAAGGCCTGGAGAGTAAGCAGGAATGGATGGGGAAACAGGGAGGGGAGAGGATGAATGCTAGTCAGCCACAGGTGGAAGGACAGGATTTTCCAGCCTGCCTCTACTCTGGACTGGCCTCTGGGACCCTGAGGGGTGCTAGGGATGGAACTGAATTTGGGGCCCAGGCCACACACCCCCCCCTCCCCCGGTAGCTGGGCTATCTTTGTGCTGGAATGAGCCATGGGTCGCACCGCTTGGGCTTTGCTCCTGTGAGCTTGGGACTGGCCCTTAGCCAGGAAGAAGGAGCTGGCAGGTAGCTGCTTGCCGAGAGCCTTCCTGCAGGGGCTGGCTGGTCCCCAGTGGGGGGGAGCGGGGAGCAGACTCTGCTGGGGGAGGGCGGGGGAGGGCGGCAGAGTCCCCGGGGAGGAAGGATCTGGGCTTGCAGTCTGTCCGGCCCTGTGTTCCGAGGCCCTGGTCCCCAGTCCTCCTGTGAACAGGAGTGAACCACTCAGGTGAGGCCAGGCTGGAGGGGACAGGGCGCAGCAGAGGCCATACCGTGGGTGGAACAAGCAGCCGAGGTGGCTAAGGAAATGGACAGCCCAGGCTGCCCTGGGCTGCAGCCCCGGAGCCGAGGGACCTGTGTGGCCGCGGGGTCCATCTGGGCCTGGCCTCTAACAGGCCTACCCCCCAGCAGCACGTGCCTAGACCCCAGGCAGCCCCGCCCGTCCACCAGAGGGCGGACAGAAGGTGTAGGCTGGTGGGGATGACCAGGCCAGAGCCCCCCAGGGCCCCTCCTCCCGCCCCCCCAGACCCTGCACACACCCAGCACACAAAGCCCCACCAGGGCCGGGATCGGAGCGGGGGGGGGGGGGGGGGGGGGGAAGGGAAGCTCCGCCGCCACCATCCAGGGGTGGCCTTGGGCCTGGCTTCCAGCATCTTGGCTAGGAGCAGCAGCGCAGGGTCACCGCCTCCTGAGAGGGGATCCCAGGCCCCGCCTGAGGGGCGGAGGCCGGGAGGGGCGGGGGAGTCCTGCTGGGGGCGGAGGCCGGGAGGGGCGGAGGCTGGAGGGGCCCTGCCTGGCGCCCCGCCTCCACCCTGTCCCCACCGGAGCTGAGCAGCCCGGCGCTCTGGGCTCTGACTCTCCACACCACGGCGGCAGCTGGGCAGGCAGAGGGACGGACAGACGTGGGTGTGTGGACCGCAGCCTGGTGAGTGCCCCTCAGCTCTGCGCCCGCCGCCCCCTGCGTGGCTCCCTGCAGCCCGCACCCCTGGATGCCCACGGTTCTGCAGACCAATGGGCGGGCCGGCGGGCGGACGATGGACGGACAGATGGATGTGCCGGCGTTCCCTGCTCCCCATGTGCAGCTAGCCCCCAGGTCTCGGGGTCTCCCCACCCCTCAGGTCTGCCACCCCTTCTACCGTAGAGCCGATCATCCACCTCTAGCCTGTCCCCCAGGGAACCTCGTCCTAATGGTCCCTCCCCACGGGGCTGAGGTCACCCAGGAGGGAGGGAGCGGGGAGGGAGGGAGGGAACGGGAGACCCAGGTTATCACCCGCTGGCAGGCAGAGTTTCTTGCAACAGCATCTCCAGGCCATGGGGGGCTCCTCACACTGGGGGCTTCTCCGTCCTGTACACACACACACACACACACACACACACACACACACACACACACTCTCCATCCACACACCCGTGGAGTCACGCATCCCCCTCTATCAAACACGCGTGTCTTGCTTGTGCATGCACACGCAACACACACACAGACACCAGTCCCACGTGGGTGTCGCTCACACACACAGCCCCATCCTGCCAGCCACGCGCCCCCCACGCAGCCGGCTCTGTCACTCAGGCCAGGAGCCCCAGCCTCAGGGAGGGGAGGAAGCCCCTGAGGGGGGAGGGGACTGTGGGGTGCAGGGTGCGGGGCTGGGCAGGCTCCCTCGGCATCCCAGCTTCCCCACGTTGGAGCGCTAGGAGTGAGCGCCTTCCATCTTCCACTCGCTTGGCTCTGGGAGTCGCTGGGGCCGGCTGAGCCGCGCTGAGCCAGCAGGTGTCGCTGTCACCACCGACTGGCCGGGCACGGAGAAGGGAAGGGTGCTGGTCTCCCAGCCAGAGGTGCGGTCTGGAGCGTCACAGGGGATCCCCGTGACTTGTGGGGAAGCAGAGGGGCTCCCGAGCTTGGCCCAGAGCGGGAGACGGTGCAAGCTGCGGCTGAGACTTGGGGGGGGTGAGGGCCCAGGGGCCGGAGGGAGCGGGGGCTCTGGGGCTTCCTGGCCCTGCCAGGGGTGGGGGCGGGGCAGGGGATGGCGTCCAGGCCTCCCCATGCCGAGGTGCAGCCCGCCAGCCCCGGCTGTGGCTGGCCCTGGGTGTTTTGTTTGGCTCTCACCCTGCTAGTATTATTTTAAAAAATCTAATTAGCTGCCAGCATTTACACATTGGTAAGTTTCACACAAAAGCCCGGATTTCCGTCTTCTCTTGAAACATCACGAGCTGGGCTGGCTGGGGAGCCGCAGGCCCTGGTGGGCCTGGACGGCGTAGATGGCCTGCAGCCTCCGGGGGCCGGGCCGGGGCACGCGGGTCACCGTCCCCACCCAGCCCTCCGCCAGGCTCTGGGGGGGGACGGTGGGGACCGCGGGGCTCTGACTTCGTGGCTCTGTCCCTCTGGCGTCTAGGGAAGCTTCCCGCCACTCAGAGCCTCACGGGAACAGTGTGCTGTCAGGGCTCTGTGATGGTGGCCGACGCTTTTCACTGGGCTGTGGGCTGAGGTCTCTCTCCCCAGAAGGAAAAGCACATGGGTGTGAGTCAGGCCCCTGCTGGCTTTTCTCCCCAGCCACCGACAGACACCTGGAAGGCCTCGGAGGGAGTCCCTGAACCTAGTTCACAACAGACGCACAGTATATACTCAATGAGGTCACGGTGTGACAGGCTGGTGAAAGTGTGTCGTGCCTCTGGGGAATACTGTACGCGTCTGCCCACGTGACCTGTAAGGATGCTTTTAATCCCTTGAGACCCACGGCAGGGTTCCTGCACCTTCGCCACGGCCCCCACGGCCAGATGGGCCCAGCGAGTCTCTGGGTGAGCACACACAGTCCAGGGACCATCTAGGCCCCGCTCTGAACAGCTTTGTGGGTGTCATTCCATTCAGAGGTATGGGCCATGCACATCTTTTCCTTGAACCCGGCTGGCTGTGGTAAATGAGGTGCCATGTGGAGAGGGACAGCTCCTGTTTCCTTGTGCAGATGCTTGCTGGGTGGCAGGTGCTGTGGCAGCCATTGTGTTATTCTGACTCCCCTCTCTCTCCAGTCTGCTCGCTGCATGTGGCTTCATTTATGTAAGCTAAGTGGCTCTGTGGCACATGGCTTCCTGGGAATTTGTTGCCTGAAGACCAGGTTTGTTCATGTCAGACTTGGACATGCCCGAGTGGCAGGCAGCCCATAGCTAGACTCTGGGCTCCATTCCCAGCAAATAATCCCCAAACATGACCTCAAACTTCAGTAGAGTTGGTGGATGGGCGTCCATGGGCGAGTTTATTTGGTAGGGTGTGGGGAGGATGTACTGGTGTTGGTACTCCGGACCTTGCGCTTGCTAGACGGGCGCTCTACCGCGGAGTCATGCCTCCAACCCCACTGGTGGGTTTTAAGATGGTTTAAAAAAATCCCTCACATTCGTGACTGCCATTGTTGAGGGGGGGGGGGGCTTGCGACCTCAGGGTCCCGCCGGTGTGAGCCAGGCCGCGGGCCCTGGGGGAGCTATGCAGACCTGTCCAGCACAGGGAGCCGCTGTGGGGGGGGGCACCCTAACTCTGGTCTGAACATTGGTGATGGACGGGCTCAGTGTGTTCTCAGCAGGAGAGAGACCAGGCCAGGCCTGTGAGATGGCTTTATAGCCCAGGTCTGGGGATGAGCTTGCGGGGGGGGGGGGGGGGGGGGGGAGCAAGATGGCAGGCAAGAGGCCTGGGAGGGTGAGGGTGTGGGGAAGGGACACTGAGTCTGTGTCAGCCAGTGCGGGGAGGAGGCGGGAGAGCACCAGCTCATCCTACTCTGTCCTGATGACGCAAACCCCGGCTCCCTGGGCCGCTCTGGTCTGCCGTGCCTCACGGGCTTCATGGTCCTCCTGTAACTGTAATTTGGAAATGCTACAGGCATGCCCCTCTCTTCCTCCCAACGGCCATTGTCACAAAGAAAGCGCAGGTCTGGGAGGTAACTTCCTTCCTGGCGGGCCCGAGCCGGGTTTTATGAGCGCGGATGCATTGTCCTCGGCCCGGGCAGCCCTGCCCAGGCCTGATTGCTGCTGAGAAATGTGCCACCCCCATGCTGGCTGCAGGGGGGAGGGGGCAGCACGTCCCCGGAGGCCCCGGCCCTGCCCTGCCTCCGCTGGCCGCTGGGTGAGGAGGCCGCCCTGGCTCTGCCAGCCTTGGGTACGCCCGCATGGAAGAAGGGGCCCGTGGCCCAGGGGAGTGTGCAGGGAGGGACAAGGCCAGGCCTGTCTGGGCCGCTGCCTGGGCCTGGACCGACCTCCATTTCCCCATCGGGAGCTTGGGCGGGGGCAGTGCCCACCGGTCCCCACGCCCCTGCTGTTGGGAGGAGGGCACTGGGGTCCTGTCTTGTGGACCGCATATGCGTGGCCTTTCTCTCCTGTCATGGTCTTGGTGTCACTGGGGTGGCACCATTGTTGGGGTTGGGCCCGCCCGCCCTCTGCCCTCCACCCTCTGCCCTCCGCCCTCCGCCCTCTGCCCTCTGCCCTCCGCCCTCCGCCCTGTGACTGGGGCCGGCTGGCCTTGAGGCCTCCAGTGTCCACTCTTCTGCCCCCCCTTGCTCACCTTGGAGTGCCCCCCCCAGCACTCGCCCCCTTCCTGGTCCCACATGGGCTCTCAAGGAAGTCCCGTTCTGCTTTGAGTCAAGAGTTGGAACCACTGGGAACAGTCCTCCCTGGCCCCGAGGTCTGTGACGCCTACCGTGAGCAGCGATCCCTGGGGCGGTGGGTACGTGGCGGGGAGGGGAGAGGGTGCTGAGACCCCAGGTCAGGGCACTGGGCTGCAATCTGGAGACACAACCTCACACAGGTACACACAAACAGGTACACACTCCCTGGGCATGCACACATACTCAAAGAGCACACACATGCATAAGAAGACACTGAGCTACACAGACACACAATGCACACAGGCTTGCTTCCTCATTCACAGACACACACACTTATCCCCAACACACATTCACATTCACATGCACGCGTGCACGCGCGCGCGCGCGCGCGCGCACACACACACACACACACACACACACACACACACACACACACACTGGAGACCCACTGACCTCTGGTTTCTCAGGCAGCGTCTGGGCCCCTGGCGTGGAGGCTCAGGGCTCAGGGCTCAGGGCTCAGGGCTCAGGCCTGGGAGCTGCCAGTGCCCCTTATCTGTTTTAATTTTGCCACTTGTCCGGCACTCTGACCTCCGCTCCCTGGTCATGGGGGTGGCGGGGCGGGCTGGGGACCCGCGCTTTGCATGGGGAGTAGCCGGGGCATGGCGCCGGCGCTGCTGCGGAAGGGCCCTGGCTTGGGCTGGCGATACGGGGCGTGGAGACCTTTCACCATGGCTGTGACTGGGGCCACAGCCCAAACCCTCGGACCCACGGACAGACACCGCGCTCATGAGGCAGGGCCGGGGTCCAGCTGCGCCCGGGGCCCGGGCTCAGGGCCCAGCCCTGCCGCGCATACACGCGCGCGTGTGTGAGAAGAGCTGGCGTGGGTGCGAGCGGCGTCACGCCAGCGCCCGGGACGCTGGGGCACCCCGCGCCCAGAGCTCGCCCAGGAGCCCGGCCGTCACCCGCGCCTCCACTCTCGCCGGCTTGGACAGGCCTCTGAGGGTCACTGATTTGCTGGGGCTCCCCGCATGTGTCCACAGATGGGGCTGCGAGAGGGGGATGCCAACACAGCGGCTGGTGCAGGGCAGGGTCTAGATGGGGAGGGAGCTGGGGCTCCAGGACAAGGGGGAGACCAGGGCCTGAGTAGGTGCGCGGTGCTGACCCTCACAGGCCTGTGGGGTGGGAAAGGGCGTCCCCAGGGTGAGAGGAGGCCCGAGTATCCGGAGGGCCGGCAGGAGAGGCCGGCGCCCCCCTCCCCGTCCCCCCCTTCCCCCGTGCCCTCTGCCACGCATGCCTGGGGACGAGAGGCTGGGGTCTGCCGGGACGTGGGGACACGCTTGCACGCATG